TCGGAAGAGAGGTCCGGTCCGCCGAGCTGATTGGACGAAACGGAACATGGTTTGGATCCTACCCTTTGTTGCAAAGCTCCACAATGGAAAGTCAATAGGAAGGCAGCGGCTGCGAGTGTCCCAGGCGCAGCTGGGGAGGGTAGGTGGGGGACAGAGAGCTGTGCAGAGCCGTGCTGGTAGGGGCAGTGGGCTGTCTTCGTGTCAGGATCCCGGCAGCCTCGACACTGCCCCGCAAAAATGGACGTTGCCAAAAGTGCATTACCCTTTGTTGCAAAGCTCCACAATGGAAAGTCAATAGGAAGGCAGCGGCTGCGAGTGTCCCAGGCGCAGCTGGGGAGGGTAGGTGGGGGACAGAGAGCTGTGCAGAGCCGTGCTGGTAGGGGCAGTGGGCTGTCTTCGTGTCAGGATCCCGGCAGCCTCGACACTGCCCCGCAAAAATGGACGTTGCCAAAAGTGCATTTAATGTGTCCTGCCCAAAGCAGCCAAAACAATTAATAATGAATTAACTTCGGGTTCTAGAGCGTTTTGCAGGCGCATCTCTCTAAGTAGGAAAGGTTTTTTTCGGGTTTTTTCCCCCCTGTTAATCGTTTCATCTCACATGGGCCAGTATCTCAGCTCAGGGCTGGTGGGAGATTGAAATCTTTCAACTCCACTAAAATACCTTGAATTTGGAAAGTGTTTTTAAAGGACTAACCCTGGGAAATTATCAATATTGCCTGAAAAAAAAAAAAAGAGTGCTCCTTATTAATGGGCACAGGGGGTGACCATATTATTATTATTTTTAAAGACTTTTAATAATATAATTAGTTTAATATCATACTTCATATAGCAAGCCTGGTTCTGGCAAATATTTATATATGTAAACTTAACCCAATACGGTTCTGATTAAGTTCAGCATAGAGTTTACCGAAGGACTGAGGCCTGGTTTATTGCAACAACTTTCATAAACTATACATCACTCCAATTAAGTCCCATAATGCCTTTCACAAACTTAATAACATATGTTTCCTATAGCAGTTTTCATATAAAAGGTATATATTAAGCACATGTATGTATATATGTGGATATATATGCATATATGTGTGTGTAATCATATGGACAGTATATATGTGTATATATATGTGTGTGTGTATATGTATATATATATATAAAAAACAATGCAAACATAACTATAGATTATATATGCATTGATCCATAGAAACGATGCAATCATTATAACATACGTATTATATGCAGACATATCATACCTGTATAGTCCTCGCCCATGCCCTCAGCAGAGGTATACCACTTTATCAAATAAGAGCTATAATTTCAACGAACCGTAATACAGTAGCTAGAAAAAGTCATAGAGCTATATTCCAAACTTCGGTTGCAATTCTAGTAACACATATGTAGGTTAACTGTAAACCTTAAGTAATCCCATTGAAGTGAATAGGCGACATTTGACCCTTTTTAGGATAAACGGTTGTTTAATTGTTGACTTTAGGGAGGCTAGGAATCCATCAATAAAAGTGTTTATGTGCTTAAAGTTAAGTTTTTGGGTAAGTATTTGCAGAATGGAAGACCTCACCCTCGCTAAGGATGTGTGAACCAAGTAATCAACATTATTGCAAAAGACTGAAATAAAATAAACTAAAATATGCACTCCTTGGGACTGGAAAACACAGCTGCAAAGTTAAGAGTAAATACATCAGTAAAATGTAAGATTGTATCTTGCCAGTATCAAGGATTACATAGGACTAAATGTAACCATTTTCACATGCACCAACTGATGGAGAAAATCTTGCAGTCCTTTCTTCAATGGGAGTTGGAATAAGACGAGCATGATCGGGCCCCGCAGCTCCCATGGATCATAGCAGTGTTTACAGCTCATGAAAGAACAAAATGAAAATGCCTTTCTAATATTGATTCTTGAAAGCAACTGTGTGTTTGCAAAGTGTCCATTTAAAACACAACTAAAGCTTCATTGATTAAAAACAAGCGAAGGGCAGAATCAGTTCACGAGAGCTTTGGGTTACACAGCATTGCTGCACACATGAAGGTCTGTGTCTTGCTTTGTAGCCTGGTATGGGCAATACAAGCCGTGTATACTGACACGGTGCGACAGGATACATCATGTGCTCCAGGGGACAAACTACTGTCTGGACATATGTGCATCCTTTCCACCTAACTTCTTCCCTCTGTTTACTTTTCTCTGGGGTTTGTATATAAAGGCAGTTACTGATGAAAGCAAATTGCAATACATACAGCATTCAGTAATTAAATGATGGTAATTAGCCTCTACAATAGGGCAGTGTATTTGCTGACATTTTGGAACCAGGACCTATCAAACACTCCATTTCACCCAAATCCCAGATTGAAAGCAGGAGCCCATTTTAATTTGATTGACTTGAAAATACAGAAAAAATGAAGAGACTAGCCTTCCAGAACCTTTCATAGTTTAAATGCTTCCTGATGGCCACTGGTTAATCCCTCTGCTGCTTTTTTTAAACAAGGTGATGCCCTGCTAACAATACAAAAAAGCCAGTGCTTAGCTTTCATTAATTAGAGTTCAAATGCCTTGTTCCTCAATGTTTTTATTAGTAATGATGAATGCTTTGGCCTCTAATTGTAGGGATACTTGTGTAACTTTTTGTTCTCCTTTACTTTGGACTGGAGAAAAACTACTCTGGCTGTTATAGAAAACAAAACTAAAACAAGCAATGAGAGGCAAGCATACGTGCAAAATACCAAAGACAGTGTATACGTGTAGATACACATCTACAATATGCAAATCAATGTAAGAGAGACAGAGTGCAGACTGGTCAAATGTACCAGGCACCTGGCTAACTTTGCTGAGGTGCTATTCACAGTACGTTCTGGGCTTTCCTCACTGGGAAATGGAACAGAACTAGCAAAGGAAACAAATAAGCTACCAGGTCTAGCTGGTCTAAAAAAGTCAGTGTACATAGCTTAAAAGCAGTGGTTTTCAAACAAGAGTGCATGAAGCACTCTCTGACAGTGGACAAGTCATGTGATATTGGGTTTTCCTTCCTATTTTTTGTTGCTAAATTGCTTTAAAAGAGGGGTAAACATAGATTCGTATTTCCACTGTTGCTTTTGAATGTAAACAAATGTAGCACAGGCAAGAACTTGAGGTAATTATGAATAGGAGGCTAGCCTTGTTAAACAATAGCTAAGTGTGATCCACACTGAACAGTTTGAAATTCCTTGGCTTAAAAACAGTAAGTATCACTTTAGTCTTAAGTGGAGGTAACCAAGTATATCTGTATACTATACACATAAAGTCTACTACATTTTCAGTGGTGTTATGACAATTTAATAATACAATATTTCTTGCTTCTACAGTCTCAGCTCTTATGCTGCTTTCATACACGTGTAACAGGCTTGTACAGTGCTACTACCATTTTATCTTATCATGGAAAGGCAGGGGAAGAAGTCATTAAACTATTTCTATATAACTGCATCCGCATCCTAAGCGTTGTATCAAGATGCGTTTCAGTAATAAACCGATCAATGAATCTTGTCCTTTACCAAAATGTAGGAAGATACAAAACCTGTGCATGACCTAAGCCTGAGTCTTGAACATTTTAAAATCCATGCATAATAGCCAAGTTAAAATGATAGGTGTTCATCTCACTGTCAATCCTGCTGGTCTTCCCCAACGCTGTAAACATAGTCCAGTGAATTAATAAAAAAGTAACAATCTGAGCCTGAGAGATCAAAGTACTGTAAACACAGGTAGGTAGATAGATAGATAGATATTAATATCCATATATAGATTAGATAGATATAAATATATTATAGCTAGACGCTGCAAAGGCTTATGTACCTATACAGATCTACATAGATATACCTGCATCTAGATATATAGATCTATATATATATAAGCCTTTGTTGGCAGCACTCTCTATATATTTCTATATCTTCTCCCATGGGAGAAGATGTTGTCTCCAAAAGCTCTTCAGGTTTGGATGCATAAAATCCCATTGGTGTAACTCCTTCAGGGAAGAGCTTTCTTTTCCAGGCAACGAATGAAAGACATCCCCAGTCTGGGGGACACCACAGTCCAGGGCTAGCTACCTGGAGGCACTTTCTGCATCCCACTTTCTTGCTTCTCCTCCTCCTCCTGCAATAGCGTGCTATTAATCACTGGCTCTTCCTGGCCCCTTTTCCCCACGCTGTGTTAGCATAGGGTGGGGGCCGTAGGTCTGGGCAGGCCAGAATGCAGGGGTGCCGCACACTGTGCTGGAATGCCCTTGCATTTCTTGGGGGCGCCCGAGCAATGACATTCCCCAGCCCCCTGCAACGCCTCCTGCCCGGGCGCATCACAAAAAAGCCACGTGTCCCTAAAACATCCCCAAAGGCTGGGTCCTCTCCTAAATGTACTGTAGGGTGAT